AGGAGGAGGAGGAGGAGGAGGAGGAGGAGGAGGAGGAGGAGGAGGAGGAGAAGAAGAAGAAGAAGAAGAAGAAGAAGAGAGGACCATTGGCCTTTGGCCCAACCTACCAAGAGACTTCAGAAGGGCCCGCCCACCCCGAGGTCCATACCTTCACACAATTTTCGCACTCAAATCTCTTGCCACTGTCGTGTGACATCTGATGACGGATCAAGTTGGATTTCCAGTTGAAGGCCTTGGGACACTGGTCGCACTTGTATTCCCTTTCTTCTGTGTGGATGATCATGTGCTGTTCCAAGCTGTGGGAGAAGGGTGGAAAATAACAGAGTTTGGAGGGGGGCTCAGAGGTCTTCTAGTCCAACCCCCTCGCTCCAGCAGGAGAGACCCTATCCCATGTCGAATTTCCACCCTTCTAAAAGTTGTCAAGGTTGCAAAACACTGATCTTTGCAGGTGTCACCATCACCTGAATGAAAGGTTTTAGGCCAGTATTTTTCAACCCTACCGACTCGGGAATTCTGGGAGTTGCGGTCCACCCCCTCTGAAACACCGATCTTTAGGGGTGCCTCCGTCACCTGTACTTGTTTGGAAACATCCTTTCACAGTCTTTGCATTCGTGGCCTTGGTCATCCTCCATCCCTTCCTGCTTGATCTCCTCGGTCAGGGACTCGTACAGAGAGCCGACGGCATGACAGGAGTACTTCTTATGCCGCCTCATCTCCATTTTGGACTGGAAGAGCTCGTCGCAGTCCTCGCAACGGAATGTGTGAACGTCTGCGGACAAAAGCAGAGACCCCGTGTCAGGATTCCAGCAATCGCCCTAATTAAATCATGATCCTCGAGACAAACTTCAAAGCACTTCAAAAATATTTATTAGGAGCAACATGCTGGCATTAACCTAAACAAAGCCAACTCTGGCCTACGTCATTCACAGTGACCCTGTTTCCCCCCCTTCCCCCTGGGTGTGTCATAAATCAGATTCTCCAATGAAGCACCTTCACTGGCTGGGTGTCATCAATCACGTTCTCCAATTAAATACATTCGCGGGCGAAAGCTCCGGTATTTCAGTTACACTCTTTTAAAGATAAAGAGTTGGAATGTACCTTTGCTTCCAAACGGCTGCACTGTTCTTCCAGTTTTCCTTCCCCCCACTTTTTAATGGCAACTACTACAACAGGCATAGGAACATGTTTTGTTTTGAATTTTTATTTTTATTTTAAACAACAAATGTAAACAAATGCAAAACATACAACATTAAATAAAACCTTCTTTCCATTATACAGTGTGTCGGTTGGTACATATCTCTTGTGCACAATATCAACAGTCATTCCATCCTGTTTTCATGTTACAATTCATATTACGTATAACTACTATCCGCTTACCATCGTATTGTTATCAAATCGTTATCCACAGCAATTATAAATTCATTTCATCTTTTTTGAGGAAGAATCAACTATTATAAAGCCTAGTTTATGATATCATTCATTTCCAAATAATCAAACACAGAATATCATAAAACGGGGCCCTTCCCAACTGTCTCGCTTAGCGATGGAAATTTTAGGCTGTAGATTGAGGATTATCTGTATATTCCTACATCTTAAAACTTACCTCTTTGGACGCTGGAAAAAAAATGCTTATATATTATATTATATTAAAGAGCAATCTCCAATTTTTATTCACTATTTTTTTTCCTGCTGTAGGCTTCCCCAACCAAAGCTAAAAATTTTAATATACAATTCATGGAGGTGGGTTTTTTTTTTTAATGTAAATTTATCTGATGACCTTGTCAGTTGTATATATTTTACCTCGACCGGTAGGATTTTGAATGAAAAACTCTTTGGGGATTAAGGATTTTTTCCTCCCCTCTAATAAAAATTAAAAGTCACTGAAAAATTAAAAATAATAACGAAAACAGACTCTGCCTTATTCAAATTACAAGGTTGGGAAGGTTTTTCTCAAATCAGATCAGATCTGATGACAATTATATTTCCCTTTCTGCAGGTTTTTGATGGGGAAAGAAGGGCGCATACATTGAATTCACCCCGGACCTATTTTTGCAAGTTTCTTTTCAAACCTAACCAGGGTGTTCAAATCATGATTATTTTTTTTCCTCCCCTCCCAAGGAAGAAAACTACTTGGAGTTTTCTCTTAGGTCATATTCAGGCTCAAAATAATTCTCCATTTTTTTGGATACGATGTTGAGAGAGCCTTGGCATGGCAACCAAAATCCTGCCCATTCAATTCTTTGTTTTAAAAGAAAGTGTTGTGCAGAAGGAACTCTGTGTATGTGTGTGTGTTTCCTTTAAAGCACACAATAAATTATTCCAGTCAAGGTCAAATGGATTAAAAAGAAGGGCAGCTATTATTAAGTTCACAAGGCAGCATCCTGACACAAAGGCCAAGCCAAACAATCCACTTCCCCACCCCCTGTAAACTTTCCCCGAGAGCGAAGTTAGTCTTAAATTCTTTTTTTCTCCTTTTTCCTTGTTTGCCTTCTTCTTCTTCTTCTTCTTCTTCTTCTTCTTCTTCTTCTTCTTCTTCT